CTGAGCCTTACCCCTGTGTGGTCTTTTGTCTCCCCCGTAGCCCACTACGACAAGTGTGTGATAAACCTCAGGGAGAGGTTCAAGCCAGACATGTCCCGGGTGCTGGACTGCATCTTCTCTCACGCACAGGTGGCCAAGAAGAACCAGCTGGTGATCATGTTGATCGTAAGCAGGAAGGGTTCCCTTTACCCAAGCCGGGGTTGGGGCAGGACTCCGCAAACGTTTTCATAATAGGGCCAGAAGGTAAATAATTTAGGCTTTGCAGGTGGGTACGGTCTCTCTCCTGACCGCGCGACACTGCCATTGTACGGTGCAATTGAACTGGCATGGCTGTACTCCAATCAGACTTTGTTTACAAAAATCAGGCAGCGAGTGGGATTTGCTGGCTCCTGGGGAGACCATGCCTCACTCTTACAAAGCACCCACTTTGTGCCAGACACTCTTAAAGTCCTTTACAAATAAATATTAGCTCATTTAGTTCTCATAGCAACCCTGGAAGATGCGTACTGCTCTCACCTCCTTAGGGCAGAGCACAGAGAGGTGAGGTCACTCACTCAAGAACACCCAGCTCATAAGAGCAGAGCTGGGACTTGAACCCACAGTCTGGCTTCAAAGTCATGACCTATTAGGGGACTTTGGATCCCAAGTCTTGTGGTAGGTCTTTCATTTTGCCTTCTTGAAGAAGGTATGGAATTTCTTTGCTCTTATTTCTCCTTCTACTGGGTAATAATGAGCAGTCTTTTACAACTAAAGGTTTTTCTCCTTAATACGTCCCTGATGACTGGCTTGGAAGATGTAGAATCAGGAGAGTAGGGGAGACTTGGCCTTGGCTTATAGCAAAAAGGGCTGGTAAATTTTTTTCTGTAAAGGGCCCCAGATAGTAAATATTTTAGGCTTGTAGCTCTCCGGACCCTGTTGCAAGAGCTCTGCTCTTATAGCCTGAAAGCAGCTACAGACGATATGTAAATGAACGAGCATGGCTGGGTTCCAATAAAACTTTATTTACAAAAAACAGTGGGCCAAATTTGGGCCGTGGATTTATAGATAATTAATACCCTAACCAAGATGTACTCATAAATATTGGTATTTTTGTAAAGAATCACTTAAAAGTCTCATACAATAGCTTTTAATGGTGGCTGCACATGAGAATTACCTAGAAGGTGGGGCTGGGGGGCTCTTAAAAGATACAGATGCCCAGACAATTAAATCAGTTTCTGGAGCTGGAGTCCAGGAATTAGTGCTTTTTGAAAGCTTCCCCAGTGGGAAACTCAAATGTGAATTGTATGTTAGATTATATTATTGGTTTAATGTTCAATTTCTTTGGAGTTTTAATGGTTCTATGGTTATTACAAGTAGGAGAATATCTTTTTTTCTCAAGGAGACACATGCTAAAATAGTGGAAAGAATCATGGTGCCTTTCAAAAAAGAAAGTTTGTGTGTGTGTGCACACGTATATGCTTATTAGAGAAAAATCAAATGTGGCAATCTGGGAAGAGTTTAACGATGAGTGGATTTAGATGAGTAGTATTGGGGTTTTCAACGTATTGATCTTCAGTTCTCCTGCAGGTTTGAAGTTTTTCAAAATTAATTTTGAAGGGAGGACTCTCCCAGGGATCGGATTAAGAGTATACAGTCAGGACTGGGAACTTACACCCAAGGAGATATCTACTCTTTGGGGAAATCTCATTGCTTTTCCAAATACCTCCTTTGAATGGAGCTTTCTGGAGTTTGAGTGTTTGCAAAGCAAAATGCACCTGTAATCTAGTGCGGTCAGCTCGCCAGAAAGCCTGGGGTCAGGTCTGTGGATTATTCTGCTGGTCACTATTCTTCGTGCACATAGTGAATAAAGATGTGAACTTACTAAAAATCACATACACCAGAGGACGGCCTGGGGAAGATGGGTGGCCCTCGGCTCAGAGAATTGGGACACTTGCTTGAGGCTTCTTGGCAAAGGAGGCTAAAAACGTTGAATCAGTTACAGTTGCGGGGTTATGCATGAGATTCATTATTATTCTGGCTTTTTGGGTTGCATTTGTTAGAAAATAGCAAGTTCTTTGTACCCGATGGTATTTGGTACTTAGAAGGTTCTCATCAAAGACTTTCAAATTGAATGATTACTTTGAAATGAAAATTTTTTGAGTCTTTTAAGGGTAACTAGTTTCTGAATATCAATTCAGTGGCCATAGGACTCCGTTAGTAACAAAACAAAACATGATGCTATGAACTACAGTATATGAGAAGAGATAGTTTCACACAAGTTAATAAGAAAAAAATGGTTTTGGGGGTTTTCCTGTATAGAAGGTAGTGGCCAGCTTTTTTAAGTGTTAGGCTGGGCAGCTGTCTGGCTTGCTGGGCAGCCGCGCTCCTTGGCCGAGGCGGGTGCTGGCATGTTTCTCTGGGGTGGAGAAAAGCCATCTGCATTCTGTTTTTGTCCCCCAAAGGATGAGCTCTGCGGCCCAGACCCTTCCCTGTCGGACGAGCTGACCTCCATCCTCAACGAGCTCACTCAGCTGAGCAAGAGCGAGCATTGCAAAGTGGCTCTCCGGGCCAGACAGGTAGGGTCTAAGACGCGGTCCCTGGGTGCGCCATCCCACGTCTGGCCCTCAAGCCCTCTCCCCTGGGAGGTCGGCTCACCCCGGCCCTCCGGCCCGTCCCCCTGCAGGTCCTGATTGCCTCCCACCTCCCCTCCTATGAGCTGCGCCACAACCAGGTGGAGTCCATCTTCCTGTCCGCCATTGACATGTACGGCCACCAGTTCTGCCCAGAGAACCTCAAGGTGAGGCCGTCTCCCTCCTCCCACCTTCCGCAGAGCACACACCACAGCCCAGGAGGGGCCTCCGTGGAATCTGCTCCCTTTGCCCTCGAGGGGCTCACAGTCTGGTACAGGGCCAGACACAGATGGCCCTGACACCAGACAGTTCAGCCCGGCATGGCAGAACTGCTGAAGGGGGTAGCAGGGAAGGCGCCGGGAGATGTGGGTGGGGAGCCCTGTGCTGCAGGGTGGGCCGTGTGGCAGGCAGCGAGGGCCCACCTGGTAGGTGCGGTTGAAAGAATTCAGCAGTGGTGCAGCATGTTTAGAAGCCGTTCTGTGGCCAGGGCCTGCCATCATCTTCCCAGGGCCCCCCAACCCCAGCCTCTGGCTCATTCACAAGCTCCCAGGTATCCCCATCAGGAATGGGGAGCCCTGCCTTGGGGCCAGTCACCCCAGTGTTCTTCACGGTTAGATCTTCGTGATCAGACGTGGGAGGAGTCCCATGCACTGCGGGGCACTGGCCACTCTCAGTGGTAGCAGCAAGAAGGACTTCTCCCCGGTTCCACTGCGCCCACCCATCCAGCTGGTGGTTAAAAGCTGTTCATAGTTGTTAATACTTTTCTTTGGTTCCCTTTTCATCACCCACAGAAATTAATACTTTCAGAAACGACCATCTTTGACGTCCTGCCTTCGTTCTTCTATCACGCTAACAAAGTCGTGTGCATGGCGTCCTTGGAGGTAAGCGGGAGAGGCCCAGAATGACAGCCCTGACCGCGCCAGTTCTAGCATTCGCCACCACCCACCCTGTGCCCATCCCTGGGCCACCCGCCTTTCGATCGTGATCTTATCATTCTCTCTACTAGGCGGGCACTACGCCTATCCCCGTCTTAAACAGGGAGGAACTGAGGCTCAGAGAGGCTCAGAGAGGCGGAGTGACTTGCACAAGGTCACACAGCTAGGAAGTGGCAGAACCAGATTTCGTACTCCATCTGTCTTATTCCAGAGTCCGTGCTGGTAACCGCTGCTATCTCTGAGTCATTCCAGCAGGGCACGGTCACATAACTAACCCCCAAGAGCTGAGTCCAAGACACCTCCTCCAAACTGTAATCCTAGCACTCCGGAAGGCCAAGGCAGGATAATCACTAGAGGCCAGGAATTTGAGACTAGCCTGAGCAACTGGTGAGACCCCATCTCTATTAAAAAAAAAAAAAAGTAGTCACAGTCATTCAATTCCTTTGAAAGACTTCTGCTTAGAACGACAAGAGCCTGAAGGATCCTAGGTGACAATTTAAGGCGACTGCCCCGTGTGATAGGACGAGAAGGGCATGGCCAGCAGCAAACCCCAGATTAGAGCCAGGTTGTGTTTTGTTAGTCTCAGGAAATCAGAGTTTTTAACCTACTCTTCTAGAATCCTTTTAAGAAAATACGAGATGACATCTTGCGTGTTAACGTGACTCTCTTTGCGCCTGATGGTGGCTTTTTCTCCTCTCTTCGTCCTCTGGGCTCAGAGTCTTCACTTTCCGCTGTGTCTTTTAGACCCCGTGGGTCGCACAATCGGAAGGTTGCCTGAGACTTCTCACGTTTTGAGGATGCTCCGCGTGGCCTCCAAGAGAACGTCCGTCGTGTTAATACTTCTGCTCCAACAGGTCTACGTGCGGAGGGGCTATATCGCCTACGAGCTGAACAGCCTGCAGCACCGGCAGCTCCCGGACGGCACCTGCGTGGTGGAATTCCAGTTCATGCTGCCCTCTTCCCACCCAAACCGGTATGGAGCGGCACACGCCTGGGGATGGCCCGCGTTCCTTTTCTCCCTGACCCCTGCGGTCCCGTCTCTGGGAAGAGCCCTCAAGTATGTCTGGGCATGCTGAGGCCTCCCCGCTGCCCCATTTCCCCCTCTGTAAAATGGAGATGGTCCAGAGTCTTCCTCCTACATCTGAACTGCCCAGCATAGTAGCTGCTACCCACACGTGCCTGTTTAACTTAAAATGACATTAAAATTCAGCTCCTCCGTTGCACTAGCCACATTGAAAGTGCTCAGTAGCTGCATGTGGCTCCTGACTGCCCTATGCGACACTGCAGTTCTAGAACATTCTATCACCACAGAACGTTCTAGCGGACGGTGCGATCCTAGACCGTTGGGGAGAGCAAATGAGATAAGGCACATGACAGCGTTTAGGACAGTGCCTGCGTGAAGAAAGTTGTGGGATAGCAGCGATCCCAGTGACGAGTCTGAGCGATCTTGTTGTTGCCGTCCGGCGGCGTGCTGCCACGGGTGGCCGCCAACCACGCCGAGCGCTTCCACACTCTCATCTCACGCAGCCCTTGCCGTCTGTCGGCCAAAGTGTGCTTGCATCCCCGTTTACAGGTGGGAGCCCCGGGGCCTTCCCCGACACACGTAGGCTGAGCCTCTCACACGCGCAAAGTAGGAGTTTGAGCCCAGATCATGCTCTCGCCTGCAAATTTTTTTGCTTTTATTTGAGGGTATTATGAGGGTACAAACATTTTGGTTACATTTTATATCTTTGCCTCACCCAAGCGAGGGTTAGAGGCACGCCCTTCCCCTCTACGATGCTCCCGTGTCCTTTAGTTGTGAGTTTACCACCCCCATCCCCCTAATCCCTGGAGAATATTACTGCCATGTGAGCACCCTAGTGTTGATCAGTTAGTACCAATTTGATGGCGAGTACAAGTGGAGCCCATTCTTCTGACCTTGTGATACCTCACTTCGGATAATGGCCTCAAGTTCAATCCAGGAAAATATAAGAGGTGCTAGAGCACTGTCGTTTCTTATGATTGAGTAATATTCCATTGTATACATGTACCAAATTTTAATAATCCACTCACGAATTGACGGGCACTTGGGTTGTTTCCCCATCCTTGCAATAGTGAATTGTGCTGCCAAAAACATTTGGGTGCAGATGTCTCTATTATAGAGTGTCTGTTGCTCTTTTGGATAGATGCCTAATAGTGCTATTCCTGGATCGAATGGTATTTCTATTTTTAGCTCTTTGAGGTATCTCCAGGTTCTTTTCCACAGAGGTTGCACTAATTTGCAGTCCCACCAGCAGTGTAAGAGTGTTCCTGTCTCTCCACATCCTCGCCAGCATTTGTTGCTTTGGGATTTTTTTGACAAAGGCCAATTTCACTGGGGTTAGGTGATGTCTCATTGTGGTTTTGATTTGCATTTCCCTAATGATTAGACATGTTGAGCATTTTTTTTTATATGTTTGCTGGCCATTATTCTGTCTTCTTTTGAAAAGTCTCTGTTCATGTCCTTTGCCCGTTTATTGATGGGGTGGTTTGATTTTTTCTTGTTGATTTTTTTAAGTTCTAGATAGAATCTTGTTATCAGCCCTTTATCGGATGTGTAGAGAGTAAATATTTTCTCCCATTCTGTAGGCTGTCTGTTTGCTCTAATGATAGTTTCTTTGGCTGTGCAAAAGCTTTTTAATTTGATCAGATCCCATTTATTTATTTTTGTTGCACCTGCAAGTTCTTAAGGCAGCCTTCGCGGGCCCTCCGAGCCAGGGGTCGGGCGCGCGTGTTGGCTTGCCCGTGTCCGCTGCACTCTGCCCTACACAAGCCGCAGTGCAGTGGAGCCCCTGTGTGTTCTCACGCGGGGACGTCTCATGTGTCTGAGTCCCCCCAGCTCACGATCTCTTGTTTAATCTGTATTATTTCAGGACCCAAAGTACTGTTCTGGCCAGGTAGAGTGCGATAGCTTCTCCTGAAGCAGCTCCGCCTCCCTGGAGTTCAAAGCCTTTGCTTGTACTCCTCTCTCTCCTCTGGTTCGGTTCTCGGTGGGGGGGTTCCCCAGGCCTCGCTTGTGGCTGCAATGGTGTCCTCGTGATTTGGGGGTTCAGTTGATCAGATCTATACAGGCAACAGGGTTCATGCTTGCTTTTTCTTTTTTTTCTTTTTTTGGTGGTTGGGGGACAGCGGTATGACTTGCCAAGTGCTCTCTTGGAGCAGGGAT